ATAAGCTTGTGTTGAATGTGCAACAGACACATTCTGGAGATGTAAAGTACCTAACAAAAATTATTGCCGAGTAGCGGCTAGCTACTTCTTCAGTCAGTCATGATATCACATCTTTCTCATTTTATCGTTACAGACATTTCATTGCAACGTGCACAACCATCAAAAGAAGTAAAAGTTCTATTTCATTGGTCAGCCTTTCGACAGGGGGATGCTCGAATGAAAAACTCCATCCCTGATTCAGACTCATAGTCCTCAATAAATGGTCACAAATTTTCACCAAATCACGCAAAATGCGAAAAGTAGAGAAGCTTGTTCCTGGTTGGTCGAACTCATGACCAATGAAAGCTTAGATGGAAAACTCGATCTCAGACTTGTATTCCTCGCCCATGATAGCCGATAGCTAAGTTTCCTCAAAATGGTTGAAAACCCGAAGAATAGAAAAGCTCGTTTTTGATTGGCCAGTTCTCCGACCAATGAAAGCTCAGGTCGAAAATCTGACCTCGGATTCGGATTTTTTATCGTCGATAACCTATAGGAAAGTTTCATTAGAATAGCCAAAGTCCGATGAATAGAAAAGTTCATTTGTGATTGGTCCGTTTCTTGACCAATGAAAGATCATATAATAGATTCAACCTATGATTCGGATTCTTCGTCCCCGATAACCTACAGAAAAGTTCCATTAGAATGGTCGAAGACCCGATAAATAGAAAATCTCATTTCTGATTGGTCGGTCTCCAACCAATTAAAGCGCAGATCAAAAATCGGACCTCTGATTTGGACTCGTTGCCTCCGATAACCTATCGCAAAGTGTCATCAGAACGCCCAAAAATCCAAAGAATAGAAAAGCTCGTTTCTGATTGGTCAGTTTTTCGATCAGTGAAGGCTCAGATCAAAAATTCGGCTTCGGATTCGAATTCGTCACCTCTGATAACCTATAGGAAAGTTCCATCAGAATGGTCGAAAACTTGATGAATAGAAAAGCTCGTTTCTGATTGGTCGGAAAACCGACTAATCAAAGCTCAGATCAAAAATCCGACCTCGGATTCGGATTTCTTGCCCCCTATAACCTATAGAAAAGTTTCATCAGAATGACCAAAAAACCTAACAATAGAAAAGCTCGTTTCTGATTGGCTTGGACAGATAGACAAACATAGCAACATTTTTCGAATGTAAGACCCTTTCTTTCAGAAAAGGGAAAAAGAAAGTTATAGACCTGTGTGATGGATTCAGATCCAAAAAATTCACAAACACTACAAATAAATCCACAATTATAGACTGCTGCTATGACACCAGACGTACTATGTAAAATACGTTTATATTGTATTGATTTTAGTGTTCTGCATCGAAGATTAAATCGAACTGCTTGTACTCTCTTTTTTTTCTGACATAGTGATTTTCTCGAGAAAGTCGGATATTTGAATGTTGCGGTTTACCATCAACATTTTCATTAGGTAATAAATGTTCCTGACATTTTTTACTTTTAAAAGCAGGCGTATGTGAACATCCTACTTTAACATCGCGGATAGATCCGTCAACACTAGGAACGGATATATTTTTGATCATACAAACTCTTCGTGTTGCCTTCTGATGTCCGTCTAATACAATGGTGGCACTACAGGGTGCTCTACAAAACGTATGATAGTCTCTTTTACCCCATTTCCTAGTGAACAATTGTTTAATAAATGGTAATATTTCAAGAAGCATCGTATGAAAATCTTGTTGATCTGGAACGGGCATTCGAAACTTTTCGTTTTCACAAAAGTGACCAAGACGCCAAAGGAACCACGTTTTCTGAAGATGGAACCGGTCTATAGTTTCACCCTCTTTCTTTTCAAATTTGGAATTTAAGTAATTGAAAGCATTAGCGCAGTTAGAAAAACCACAATGTTTAAACAAAATATCACTATCGACTTGTATAAGAAAACGGCTTTCATATGCATAGTTAGAAAAAACAATGAAAATTTCGTCATCGGGATGAATAGTCAGCATCTTTTGCCCGTCAGGTCGAATATAATAATTGTAAAAATATTTATAATTACATTTAGAGCACCTCTTAAAAAGAATTGTTCCTTTTTTTAATCTTTCATCTGAACAAAAAACAGTAATATCGTGGTGAGGAATTGAATCACTCAGACCATTTTTCGAACAATTCGAATTTATACATTGTGTGATTAATGGTATAAAACTATTTAAGAGAGATGCTGAGCAATTTTCATGTTGAGTAGAACAATAATTTTTAATTTGTTTTTCTATTTCTTCAAAAGATTTTCCTCCTATATAGCCCTTATACATCGGTAAAATCAATTCCCAATTTTCCAGACGAATTTGTATTTGTTCCGGTGAAAATTTTGTTTGAAAAATACGGTTTAATATACGTGTTATATGATAGATGCGGCGAGGAACGAACTTATTTATTCTAAGATTAAGTTGTACAAGAGTACTTGCCATTTCCATTGAAGTAAGAGGATAAAAAAGATCTTTTACGTTAGTTTCCAATGTAGACGGCATTTTTAAAATAAAAACCCTTTTATTTTTAATATTTTCAATGCGTCGTCTAAAACTTGCTAAAAAAAATTATTTAAACTAATGCAACTACTTCAATGCTTTTCCTTATCTTATTTATTTCGCTCGTTTATAGGAACACAGATGGATGTGTGTATACAATTCAGATAATTAAGGAGAGAAGTAGGAAATGATTATGAGAAGTATTTATTGTATGAAATGAGGAAAGAGAAAAAATGTGAAAAAAAACACCTCGTTTAGTAACAGAGAAAAGTCAATAAAAGAAAAAAAGTGATCTATTTATTTGTAAGAATATTACAAGCAATTAGAAAGATCAATTCATATTTTGATAATGAGAAAAAAAAAGATGGAATCAAAAAAGTCTTATAATACTTGCAAATTTCAACTTGGATGTCCACTTATATATATTGTTCGACAAGTAAAACTTGAAATATTTTCAAAAGAATAAATATAAAAATGAGTAATAATTGATCTATATTTGAAATCAAAGATTTTTCAACAAATAACAGTTTAAATATTTTTAAAACAATTAATAATAAATTGAAAAAAATATTCACGATATGTCGTAAAATTTGGTATGAATATAATAGATACTGTAATAAAGTCTTAAAAAAGCATGAGTATTCAAGCTCAATAATTGTAATAAGAATCAGAGAATAGTCATAGCTCTTCGTTTGTCTTTATAGTAATTAAAGTATCATTAGATTTGAGAACAATAACTGTTCGTAAATTTCGCTTTGTCTACATGTCAATCTTCAATAAAAGATTTTTCGATAGTGATGATGATAGAAATTTTGAAAAGAAACAGATTTGTTTATTACAATGACAGTTTAAATTGTCCGTTGTATTAAACTAAATGCTTCTTTTCTTCACGGATCATTTCAAAGAAAAAAAAATACAAAGGTCATCTTTCTTAAAGAACTAAATCGCTTCTTTCAATAATAGCTATCACTTTTCTCTATAGTTCATCTTCATACTGTTCTTTTTTTTTACATTTCTATTGTGCTTTCTAAGTTATTCGTAATGTCTTCAAAAGGAATATCCGCTAACAAGATACGAAATATTATGCAAAAGGCTGCTATGTATTCCATGGACGTGGCTGAAATTTTCGATGAAAATATCTGCGTCCTAATAGACAACATTTGTTCCAGCAGCCAAATGCTGCGCGAATATGTCGTTACGATGTTGTTACCTGCTATTGGCCATTTTGTTAACGGTAGTCAAATTCGAACAAACACTGGAACGCCAACGAATATCTCGTTTTTTACAACAATTATTGGGTATCCAAGCGTAAATAAATCAAGTGCAACAGAAGCAATTCTGAATGCATGCCTTGCTATTGAAAAACATATTGGTATAAAATCAGAAGAAAGTCGAGTCAATTGTAGTGCTACTGTCGAATCACTCTTAACTGAACTTAAAAATATATCGCCTAGGCTCATTCAAACTTGGGACGAAGCAGTTATTCTTTTGCAATCATTCGGTCTCTATAAACAAGGTGGTGCTGCCTATGATCACTCTATAATGTGCACGTTGTATAACTCGTCTGCTCTTGTTAGACGTCAAACTAAATCAGGAAATATTGCAGTAGAAAAGCCTGTACTCAATATTGCTGCAGCAGCACATCCAGCTGATATATTTTCATCTGTATCTAGTCAGTCGGATGATGATAGTCTCATGGCTCGGTTCTTGTTTTCTGCTTCTGAACCCTGTATTCTTTTATCAAATGAAATCAGGTCGCTCAACATTGACGAACCAAGTCTTACTCATTTACTATACATTATATATTGTTTTAACTCGACAGAACAAAACGATGTACGACGAACAACAGATGATGATTCTCCGCGTATATTATATTCGTACTCTGAAAATGCGCAAAAGGTACACTGTTTTTAATTGATAGCTACTGTTTTCGTTGAAGCATGCAATTAGATTTCAAATATTATAGAAAGAGAAATGAAAATAGTGTTAGCTATTGAATGAACATGCCTGTAGAATTTAAATAACATTGAGAAATGAAAATAATATTAGTTGTTGAATGAGCATGTTTGTAGAATTTAAATAACATGCAGAAATGAAAATAATATTAGTTATGAATGAGCATGTCTCGAAAGTGAATGATAATCATATATAACATCATTTAAGAAAAATTTTTTTTTCAAAGATACGAATTTCTCGTTTTTTTTTTCTACAGATCATTAACAATGTTTTTGATGAGTATACCCTTCAAATTCGAGAAGCGTATGGAGTTGACCAAGGCTTAGGATCAATTTTAGGCAAAGCAAAAGTGCAAGTAAGCAAATTGTCTGGAGCTTTACATGCCACCTCTTTGGCTTCTGCTGTTTTTGATCAATTGATAAGTGATAATTCGTTACCTGGTTATTATGACAAGACAAACTCAGTTTTTGATCTACTCAAGCGAGTAGTAAGCGATTTCAAAGAGACACACAAGTGGACAGCAATCTCTGAAGCTACAGCAAAAGCAGCTGTATTATTAATGGATTACTTCGTAATTCAAAAAAAAATATATACAAATCGTAAGTTGTCTCGGATATGAGCTATATTTTACATCTAATGAAAGGTGTCAAGACTCCACTAATAACCTGTAGATTGTAACGAACTTAATCATTTTACACTTCTCACAGTTTTGATGAATAAATATGGTCGAATTATTAAACAGATATCTATAGTTGTATTGCTCGTCTTTTTTTTCAATTTCTTCCTTCCTTTCCCCTTTTGTTCTTCCTCTTGCTTCTCACCTTCATTCTCTTTTTCTCATCTCTCGTCTCTTATCTCCTTTCTTTCTTTCTTTCTCTCCCTCATGTATCATTGTTTCTTCTCATTTAGAACATCTTGTCTTTCTCTCACTCTACCTTCTAATGAACTGATTCACATACACTTATCAAATGCTGAACCTCTCTAACAGAACTGCAAATAATGCATGCCAATAATGACATTACCTTGTACTCAGAAATAGAATAGAATAAAACAATTATTTGCACACAAACTCTCCTAAATATGAATTGAAATTGCTAA